CTTTCTGGTTGTATGTTTTGTTACTGTTAATAATTTGATGTAGTGTAGTAGCAGAAAAACTATGGAAAAAAGACTGAATTAATAATAATAATAGCGCACTAATATTACTAATAAATTGCATTTATATTGCGCATTTCCACAAAGAAGTGCTCAATGCGCTGTAATAATATCAAGAACGTATGCAGCGCACAGCTCCAATAGTAATCCTCTCTCTCTCTCTCTCTCTCTCTCTCTCTCTCTCCAGTACATCCTTGAGTAAAGACTATCCCACAAAACTTACCCAGACACCCTCGTACACACTGATGACATCACACAGTCATAAATTGTTACAGAACAAAACAGCATGAATAAACGATACTGAGAGAACATAATAAAGACTGAGAGAACATAATGATATTTGTATTGGGAAATTTCGGAAATTACAGATTGAAGCTGGACTGAAACAAATCCGTTTTAAGTGCTGATTTGAATTTTGTTAAAGTGGTAGACTCCCATAGATGAGCAGCTGGCAAAGGGTTCCACAGGGAGGGGGCGTGGTGTGAAAAAGCTCTCTCTCCGAGTCTATGACTTTTGCTTTGGACAGGTCTTAAAAGTCTTTTCTTTGCCGATATTAAAGGCTGATATGGTATATATTGGACGACCAAGTCACAAAGGTATGATGGTGCAATGTTGTTAATGCACTTAAAATAAAGAACAATTTTTTTGGAACTGAATTCGTGCTTTCACCGGGAGCCAATGTAGTTGAATTAGCATAGGTGTTATATGCTCATTGGGAGATTTCTTTAAAATTATGCCAGCAGCTTGGTTCTGGAGTCGCTGTAACCTATTTAACTTTTCAGTGGGAAGGTTTTCAAACAAAGAATTGCAGTAGTCTAGACGTGAAAGGAAAAAAAGAAGAGATGAGGGTTTTGACGAAATCAACACTAAGATAGTATTATGTTGATATTTGTCCTATTCTGCGTAGTTCTAAATAAATTACTTTACATAAATGGTTTATATTATGATGTTACATAGATAATTTGCTGTCAAAATAAACCCCTAGATTTTTCGCTTTATCTGTGAAAAAGATGGTATCATTCCCAATACATATATTATGGTCAAAATTGCAAAGCAATATCCCTGGTTTGGCATTGCAAATCAGAACTTCAGTCTCATCATCATTCATTTTAAGTCTGTTTGATATCATCCAGTTATTGCTCTTGGTATTGTCATTGTTGTTTTTGTTGTTATTGTTATTGATATTTTTATTGCTTTTGTTTTTGTTATTGCCATTGTCGTTGCTGTTGTCGTTGTTGTTGTCGTTTTCATTGTCATTGTCAAGGCTGAAAAAAATGTGTAATTGTTATGGCTTTTATTACTGCTATTGTTATTGTCGCTGATTCTAGCTGAAGATGTAGTGGAGTACAAATAAACATTTTTGATGTAAGAGTTACGTCCCCGTCGACGCAATTTGTACATAATATGAAATTGATCACTTATATTGGTCAGTGTTGCAGAATAGCTACTACTGTTCGAAACATGAAAGTCCGTGGTTGCTAGTGCTTTGGTACGGTTTGCTCCTTTTTAAAGAATCAAACAACTGCTGCTTTCGTCTTTATCTCTCCTCCTGCTTTCTTTCTTTTTTTGGGGGGGGGGGTTATGTTCTCTCTGGAGACGCTTCTAATCCTCAGCACTTATAAGACCAGTTTGTGTTGTAAGTGCCGTAAAACTCTTACTAAAACTAAAGTAAAGGAGAAGAATGGTTGTAAACTAAGAAGCAAACCTTACCAAGACCATCGTTTTAAGCTCCGCGAAAATTCCTCCAGTATAATTACGAAAGGTGTCTGTGGCCTCGAAACTGCAGCTGGGAACAAAACAATTTGGGTCAAGTTGGTAGAATTTTCCAGAAAACATTGATTTGGAAAGAATTAAAGCGTTTGAGGTAGATAGATCGAAAGACAGTCTAACTGATGTTGCATGTGTGTGTGTGTGTGTGTGAGAGAGAGAGAGAGAGAGAGAGAGAGAGAGAAAGAGAGAGGGAGAGAGAAAGAGAGAGAGAGAGAGAGAAAGAAAGAGAGTGAGAGAGAGAGAGAGAAAGACAGAAAGGGCGAGAGAGAGAAAGAGAGAGACAGAGAGAGAGACAGAGAGAGACAGAGAGAGAGAGACAGAGAGAGAAAGAGAGAGAGGGGGTGTGTGGGGGGGGGGGGGGAGATACAACATGCTAACAGATAGAAG